TTATAAAGGTTCATATAATTATTTATTTTTACAATATAAATATAAAGTCGAGGATCGTAAAAATATGATCATCTTGATATATCAAGTATGAAAAATCAACAACACGTGAAAACATTATTAAGTTTTAAAATATATTTATAATTTTATCTTAATTTTAAAAGTGGAATATACATGAGTGAACTTATTAAAAACACCAAATATTGACATGCGGGATTAAGAAATATCAAGATTTACACATTAAGTTACACAACTCCATAAATTCCTCCTATATAAAAATATGAAAAGTTTCCCGAACTTATTTGTCGACTAACGAAATTTTATATGTCGACTTTTGGTGATATATAATTTTATTTATCGAATTCTTATGTTTCGAAGTAGTTCCACGTTTGCTCATGTTTATTAAGATATTTAAAATTATAAAACACTAGGTCAAATTATATTATAAATATATTTATATTAATTACGAATTTTAATATTAAAATACTTTATTATAAATTTTATTATAAAAAATAATGTAGCTCAAATAATTAAATCAATAATGATAACCTTAATAATGTAAGAGAAACCATAATTATGTTATTTATGTATTTAATTTATAATACAATATTAATATAATTTATTCTTTTTTTATCACAAGCCACATACCACTTTATGCTTTATATATATATATATATATATATATATATATATATATATACACACGAAGGGATTAGCTCTTTAATAATTAATATAAAACTCAATTTTTTTTATAGGAAGGAATAAAGCCAAAGCGACAGACATCACCCTAAGAGCATCTCCAATGCTCAACTTTCAACATTAATTAAATTTGAACACATGTCAATCAATGGATTAATGTTTAATCTACATGAACTGAATGTTAAAAGAATAGGACTTTCATTTAATTGTTGCCTCCAATGCATCCATTCAACAACCATACAATTTGTATATGTGGATTTATTCAATTATTAATAAAATCAAAGAGCATATTAGAAAAAAATCACAAATTCCAATAATTACATGCATGATGTTGTTTTTTGTTGATTCAGTTAATTTTTATTTATATCATCAAATTTATACAATTATTATTTATTCAATAATTTCTCAGTTACAATAGGTATAACCACACAATAAATATTTTTTTAATCGGTTCAAAATAAAACAACAAAATATTAAAATTGCAATAACTCAACAAATTAACAAATATCATGAACATAATATTTTACTTTTCAGGACATTATTATTGATAACTTTTTTAAATTTTAGTTGTAACTCATCAAATAATTATATTGTATTCAAATAAATTCTCAAATGTTTTCTTGGATAAATGTAAGGGTGGGGTTTTTCCAAGTTTATGAAAAGCTCAAAATTTGTATCAAATAATTATCAAAATGTTGAGTCATCATGTTAGAAAGAATGTGAGAAATTAGAAAGTGAGCTTGACAATGTTAACATTAATTTTTTACACATAAGCATGAAAGGACCCATAATCTAATGCATTGGAGGATAAATTATTTACACACTTTCTATCTAGATGAGGTGGATAACTTTTTACTCTTTCAAAAGAATGCATTAGAGATGCTCTAACCTTAAAATCGATAAACGGGAATGCATTACAATATAAAACTCTAAAAATTTTTATATAGGAAGGAATTAGTCGTTAATGTTGATTAATCTATATCTATACTTATATTAAAGAGGGTACTATTTATTAAATTAAGTAGCCAAAAAAGTCAACAACATTTATTGCATTACTATTTCCGTATTATATTATATAAAAGGATATTCTATTTACTACATTTATTATCCAAAAAAGTCAACTGCATTTAAATGTCATTACTATTTTGGTTTTATAATATTTTATTTATTTAATTGATTTATTTATTTATTTTATTTTAAAAAGGTAAGTATAATAAAAATATTTTAATAATAAAAAAATTAAATACCAAATAACAATGTACACTTTGACTTATTTGATTATATTTGGTATTTGATTATACCAAATATATTCCTATTTAGTATATACATTAAATACTTACTAAAGTATTTATTTGTTTTATTTGTCAAAGTTAAATATAGATTTGTTTATATTATCAAATCATAAAAAATATTAAATCCATATTGTAAAAAGAAATTCATATAATTATATAACAATTCTACTACACTATTTAACAATATTTCTTTTTTATTATATAATAAAATAATAATTAAATATTATATGGTGAACAACAATAAATAAAACTTTACTTTCTCTTATATCAAGGGATAAATTTATATGCTAAAATTAAATTTTTATTAGTATAAATATTTTAGTGAGATAATATATTAATTATTTTACAAGTTAGCCCTAACATGCTCATATTTAATGTTTTAAAAGATATAGAAAAAAACTTATAATAACTCTATTGTTTTTAGACTTAAACGTTGATTAAAAGAGGTAAAAATTCTTAATTTTTTAGACTTAAACGTTGATTAACACCATAGATTGAGAGTTTATATTTAGTAAAATTCCTAATTGTAATACAAAAATTAATTTTTGATATATTTTAGAATATCTTTAAATTCATTATAAAAAAAAGAAAAAGAAAAAAACACTACAATGAAAAAAAAAAGTCAGCTATATATCGATTTGTTGTACTCCTCAAATCACATTCACAATTTGGCTACAAGGAAATGAAACTCATTGATTAAAATATTATTTTGTCAGTAGTCTTAATGTACAAGAGACTTTAAGACTCCACTTGAATATTATAAATTTTTTATTGAACATCGTACAATTTCTTGCGTATTATAAACTTTTATTGAATATTGCATCTTATAATATAATATTCTCCAAATAAATATATCTCGCGGGTCACGTACTATATATATTCCGTACATTTTTCTTTATTCATGTATATAATTATAAGCCTGGATAAATAGCCTTAAAATTGTGCACCCCATGCATCGCACGGGCTCTGTACTAGTTTATATTAAAAGGTATACCATTTACCAGATTTAGTATAAAGAAAAGTCAACAACATTTATTGCATTACTATTTCCGTATTATACAATCTATACTTATATAAAAGGAGATTCTATTTACTATATTTACTATCCAGAAAAGTCAACTGCATTAAATGTCATTACTATTTTGGTGTTGATACCTAATTTGGCTCCGATTAATTAAATAAAAAATAAAATAATAAAATACGGCCAAATAATCAATGAGCCGACAATACGAAATAAATAAATGTACAAACAGGTTTTCGGTACCGATCAATCAGAAGCCGCCTCAGATAGACGTCAATCGAAGCCATCAAAGGTCATAAACGGGACCCACGGTGATTAATTTCACATTAGTCAAATAATGTACCATTTTTTGTTTATTCTATTGTCCACTTGCAAAAATGGTGAAACATGTATATATATGTGAAAAGAAGAAATAGAAAGGGACTCACTTCCCATTTTTTTTCATCTCCCCCAACAACAAAAAAAGGAGATTTCTCTCCAAAGTAATAAAATTCACCTATTCTCAATTATTTTTTGTTCTTAAATTTCATACAAGCAATTCGTATTATTTTTTGCGGTTGATCGTCCGATTTTCGACATCAACAGTTTGGCGCTAGAAGGAGGGCCCCGTAATTTGCTCGGGGTCAATTTTCATCAAGAAACGGCTACGTTCCCACTGCAAAATATTCCCTAAAGATTGGTATGAACATCCACATTTTTATTTTTTCTACAGACCCGCCCCCGTTTTGTGTACAAAAAAAATCCTAGTCAATTCTTGGGGCCTTTCGGTTCACTGAAGANTTCACCACTCATTTTCAGAACCCCCAAATTAGACCATAATTTTCCACATCCTCACCATTTCCCTCAAATGCCTCAAATATCTAACTGTCACTAGTATCCTGCAAGCTGGAAAACATATCTTGTAGCAAAAATCAGTCTTCTCATTTCTTTTGCCATACAATTTTCAGTGGGCGAAATCTGAAATTTCAATTTTGTGCGCGGATTCTTAAGCTTTCCAAAAGAAATCCCACTAAATGCTTTGATTGGAAAAGTGGAATCTGAGTCTTGGGCAAGAAGGCCCTTTCTGCATCTCATTTTTCCTTTTCTTCTGGGTTGAATAAACACCCCTTTCCTGCATTGCATTTCATTTTTGCCTTTTCTTTTGCACTGGATAAAGAAATGGGATAATATTAATACCACATCCACTTGGTCATTATTGAGCCACGTGAGTGGGCACTGTACTGTCAGAATACTACTATTCATATCACATCGTATTAATTGAAAAAAAAATAATAAAAAAATAAAAAAATGAGGAGAAAAAGAAGAGACAGCAAACACCAGGCCGCACGACCCCCACCGAGACCATGTCTTCTCCGGCCGATCTCACCATCTTCGGCTAAGCAGCCAGCAACCGAGGTCGACCTCGCCTCCTCCGGCCGACCGCCGAACCGTGTTACCAGCCGAGGCCCACCTCGCGACCTGCTGAACTCATGCCGTCAAGCCGGCTCCACGCCGAAGTCCGAGCCGCAGAGGATGCCGAACTCAACGGGACGATCTCACTGTCACCAACCTCACAGAACGACAGGACAAATCCCGAAAATACAGCTCGGGCCCTAATTTTCTTTCGACTCCAACCTCATATGACGAGCCGACCTCGCCCTCTCTAAATCAACTTCGGCCACCCCGATGCAAGTTCTGAGCTCGCACGACTCCACGCCGAAGTCCGGGCTGACCCGAATCCACAACAACGGCCCGACACCGAGCTCGGACTCCGAAACGTTCAAGTCCGGGCTGACCCAATATCACAGTCGCAGCCGGGCGCCGAGCTCGAACCTCAAAGCTATCAAGCCGACCTCACTTCACAGCCTGGATCCGTCAAGTCGCAGCTGTCGGACAGACCTTGCCACCATGACTAGCCACCTCATCGTCTTCAATCTTCGACCTCAGCCCGGGACTGACACATAGCCGGCGCCGACCTCACGTATCCCGATTCATAATCGCAAATGTCGATCTCACAGTCGGCTGCCGACTCCACACCATGGCAGTCGGGGCCGAGCCTCTCCATCACCAAGCTCGGGACCCCACGTCACAAGCCGAACCCCACTCACAGTAGAAGCCCGACCTAGCCGTCGGGGCCGATTCCACGTCACAGCCCGGATCCACCAAATCGCAGCAACGGTAGGCCGCCTCCAAGCCCCCGAGGCAGGTATCGTGACATCGGAGCCGACCTCACAGTCGACAGGTCGGGCTGAACATCCATTTCTCAGCCCGAACTCTAAATTCCTGCATAAGACGACAGACCCAACCTCGCTATGTCCGACTTCGCCCTCTCCGGCGCCGACCTCACAGCGGACATTAACCACCGACCATGGCCACTGTCGCAACTACCGTCGCTGATCTCGCCGCTACGGCGTCAACGAGCGCCGACCACTTCCCGATAATGCAGTCCTCATATCCCGATGCCGAGCTCGCCCCCAAAAGCTGAGGTTCTTTTTAACCTCGCCAGTTGTCGCCGCCGGAAAGAAGGTTCTTTTCTCAAGCCTGGACGCTGGGCACACCTAGATGCCGACATAGCCGCGGCCGTCCTAACTCAGATGCCAGCCGCCGCTTAACCGCCAGGACCGACATTGAGCCGCAAACCTCGAAATTGACAGATCGGCTGCTCCTCAATCGGCTGCTGCAAACGGCGTCTGATTTCTCGATTACCGTGGCCAACTTCTTCTGGAACCCCTTGTAATCGATCCACCTCAGCACCGGGAAGAAATCTGCCCGGCAGGACACGCCGCCATAGCCGAGTCTGCTCGTCCTTGCTATTTTGGACTTCACCCAATTAAACCACCGGAGTCCGACTCGCTGCCAGGCCAGTCAGACCTCTTTCCCCGCCACTGGAATTAGCTTGGCGTCTCAGATTTGATCGATTAGTGGGAAATCTTCTGAAGGAACGAGACTTGGAATCGACGATTGGAATAAGTTTTCTGCCGCAGCCCATTAATCGCGCAATTAAGTAGGAAAGGTAGGTTTTCTTCTGGGCCGAATAGTGCAATTAGAATTAATTATATTTGAGCCCAATATTGAAATTAGAGTAAATAAGACTTGGGCCCGATAGGGACTTGCGAATTTATTTTGTAAAAAATGTAAATATAAGGGCCCTAAATATGCTGTAATAGATAGAGTAAATAGAACTAGGCCGAAGCGAGCGACAAAAATCACATGGTCGAGGAGCTCAACCCGGAACCGAGCGAAAGAAGAACTGACTTCTCCCAAAATCGATGATATTCCTAGTCCTACGCTCTGCACCGACATAAGGTAATCATACTCTCAATCTCGCTTTAAATGCATACATATATATGTGTATATACACGCACCTAATGATAGTAATAGTATAATAATAATAAACGAATAATAAATATATACACGCATATATGCATATATGTGAATAAAAATATATACCGAATCGTATTTCGTTAAAGTCGAACCGAGACGGGAAGGATTAGGGAAGTTGGTCTGCTGCAAGCCTTCGGGATAGGCACGACTGTTCCTCTAGCACTTCTCACTCTCGGAAGGTCACGAGGCCTTCGAGCTCTCGCTCCGACCAAGCCGACATTATTTCGCCCGCCGTTGAGCCCTTGCTCCGGCGAGGTTGATGTCATTATCCAGTCCGGCGACGAGCCCCTGCTCTGCCGGGCTGACGTCGTTACATCGCCCGTCATAGAGCCCTTGCTCCGGCTGATGTCATTATCCAGTCCGGCGACAAGCCCCTGTTCCGCCGGGCTGACGTCGTTGCATCGCCCGTCGTAGAGCCCTTGCTCTGGCCGATGTCATTATCCAGTCCGGCGACGAGCCCCTGCTCTGCCGGGCTGATGTCGTTGCATCGCCCGTCGTAGAGCCCTTGCTCCGGCCGATGTCATTATCCAGTCTGACGACGAGCCCTTGCTCTGCCGGGCTGACGTCGTTGCATCGCCCGTCGTAGAGACCTTGCTCCGGCCGATGTCATTATCCAGTCCGGCGACGAGCCC